TTTCAGGTGCTCAATGGGTTAATTGATGTATATGCTGGCACAGTGGCAATTGTGCTCCAATAAGCACTATGGTTTATTATCTGGCCCGAATCGCATCTGCATAGTTATGTCAAAAATTCCTCCTTTCTCTTGCCATATTTGTTTCTCTTTTTCTCTGATTTCTTGAGCCTATCGAAGAAAATCTTTCACTTGGTTAGTAGAGTTAACAGAAAGCAGTGGACATTCTTGAGGCTGGACAGGATACTCAGTCCCATAATGTCCCTCCCTATCTTTGAAGTAATACCCATCTGTAAACCATTCTAAATAATAAAACACAGCTGTAGTCATTTTCCCCCTGTAGTACTAGAAGCAAGGTTGCAGGGTTAAGATAATGAGTAGTGTTTAGCCACATAATAAAACCTAAAAAGGTTTATCATCATTTACTTGACAATGCTTCCCATGCAATTTAACTACCAAATAAATCTAATTAGTTTAGTATCTTCCTCTTTATAGGAAGAGAGAAAAATTCTTTGAGAAGTCCCTGGAAACTGTCTTTTTAAGAGAGAGAAAATCAAATTCTAATTTTGCACTAGCTTACTTTTGATACTAAAACTCATTTACTTAATTAATTTATTCCGATCTTAGCCAACTTGAAACCATTCATAAAACTCTTCTCTCAAGATTCCCTTTCCTATATCTTTCTTTTGACATTCAGATTTTGTCCTATGCTTTTCCTTTTTTTTGACAAAATGCATTTCCATTTCATATATATCATAAATTCCATATAAAAATATATATATTTTACTGAAAACACATTTTATTTTCCTTGCATATTAATATACTTTCATTATTATTTTAGCAGTTTTAATTACATATATTAATTAGAATTTTTAACCCTTAGAAACCTTAATTACTAGCGAAAAATAAAGAAGTAAACAATTATGGACTGCCTTTTATATTAGTATTCTGTGACTTGGCAAATTTATAAATACTTTTCATAATTTCTAAAAACATATGCTACTCCATAGTACAATCTTTCAGTAAATCATAAGACACGTTTACTAATAGATCCAAACATCTTAATTTTCTCTATAATAAGAAGACAAAAGTGGTAAACTTAAACTTGTTAAGCAGTTAATGGTTCTTTATTTTATCTTATTTGGAAATAATCTAGATATTCAATGAATTTTCCATCATTTAATTTGACCTAGCAATACTCTAAAGTTTTAAGTTACCAAAGAGATTTTAGCAGCTATTTTAAGTACACATGCCATAAAATGTAATTATCTCTAAAAGTTTATGTGTAAACTCTTGTCCCATTTACATCTACCTAAATCATTTCCTCTCACAAATTCTGGTTAGATCACCCACAAAAACTGCATGACACATTAGACAAAAGCAGCTATCATTTTAAGTTATTTTTGCTGACAAATTTTGGAACAGAGATAACATCAGCTTATTTGATTAATAACCCCAAGTAGAATGAAGGTTGCATGTCTACCTCATAACCAATCCTGATAATTCTGAAGACATGCTTATTGCAATCAAACCAACAAACTTAAATAAGATTTCATTTACCAAAGATTTTTGGGTCAATTTCTATTACAGCTATATAAGTGCTTACTTTTAGCCAATTGAATGGAACTCTTTTAGAAATTATAGAATTATAGATGGTAATTAGAATCAGTATCTGGAACTAGAAAAGTATGACATATATAACATATATATGGCACACACATAAACAACAGACAGATGCAACAAAGATTTTATAGCCTCTGTTTTCAAAATTTTCCTTAGAATTTTGGGCAAGGGTGCTTTCATAGCAGTCTGCATCTCCAAAACTTCTATCTTTTTTTTCTTCCAGTCTTAGGAATCTGAGATGGTCTAGATAATAGCTCCCAGAAAGGTCACAAGTTTCTTGAGAGAAACAGGGAGGTTAGTTGCTTATCAAAGGACCAACACACTCATCCAATTACATTATTCCCTCTGGGTACATAGTTATATCTTAATTTATGAAGAAAACAAAATCTTATCAGGCTTTGAATATCAGCTTCCAATTTGGCTAAATTTCTGATCGTGTTACTAAATCTTGTCAAATATCTTGTCAGGTTTCAGCTGGGACAAGCAGTAACTATTTCTGGCAGCATTAAACAACTCCATTAATTTTTTAATTTTAGTTTCCCCTTGATTGTTTGAGGGTAGCAGTTTCTCAGAAAATCTCTCAGAGTCTTGTTCACACTGAGTGGAGCTCATATTGGGTCCTCCTTGGAAGGTAGCCTGACTTAATAAGTGCACTTCTTAAATGATCTTACCTAATTTGAATGTTCCTTCTAATGGCCAATCTACAAGTTTTAGAGGCTCAAAGGAGCCCCACAATTGCCACTGTAATTTTAAATTATCCCAGGTTATCTTTATCCAAAGATCCAACCATTTACAGTTATCCCCATTTTGTTAAGCACTTGCAAGTATCACTGCATATGTATTGCATGTGAAGCCAGTCAGAGTTCCAGGGGGAGCCTGCCAATTCAGGAACTGGTCAGCTTTTAGAAGTGTGATTTCCTATTTTCTTGTAATTTAGTTTTACTATAAAGTCTGAACAATTTCTAAGGACTGTGTAGCGGGTCAGAAGGGTGCTGGTTGTGAGTGTCACTCCCTTAAAAAGGTCGTGAGCAGGGGCTGGCCCGGTGGTGCAGCAGTTAAGTTCGCATGTTCTGCTTCAGCAGCCCGGGGTTCACCCGTTCAAATCCCAGGTGTGGACACAGCACCACGTGGCAAGCCATGCTGTGGCAGGCAGGTGTCCTACATATAAAGTAGAGGAGGATGGGCATGGACATTAGCTCAGAGGAGTCTGCCTCAGCAAAAAGAGGAGGATTGGCAGCAGATGTTAGCTCAAGGCTAATCTTCCTCAGAAAAGGTCATGAACATTCTCTTGCATGTCTTGGTTTCTCCCATTGGCGTTCTAAAACTACCATGGGGGCTCAGAGCACATGGACAACCGATCCTCAGATCCTCAGGTGTGCATCCCTGGACAACCTGTCAATTACTGAAAGCAAATGATCATGATGGAATCCCCTATGGGACTGCTGCGCATCGTGAGGCTCAACTTCAGACACTCCCACGAGGTTCTCAGGTGCCTGAGAACACTTTATGGTTGAGAGGAACTGGTGTCCCTTCTCTTTGAACTGAATGAGTTTTCAGTTTCTCATTTTGCTATTAAACAATTCGTTCAGACTTTATAGACACAATTCTTTCCAATGTAAAGCCAAATTAAAAAGGTCAGCCTCCCCTGTTTACTCTAAAGTTCCCCCTGGGCTTTCCTGGCCTAGAAAATTCCCCCTAGCTTCCTCTTACCTAGGATATGTACCAGTACCCCTGAAGACACCTAGTCTTAAGACTTGGCACAGCTCAAGTAAAAGTTCGGACGTACAACTTAAATAAGAAGGTCCTGGTTTCAGGAGGAACTCACAGAGGCACCTGAAGAATGCTGTGAAGCTGGAGGGAATCAATGGGCCCACCTAGTACCAAGCCCCGGTTCAAAGCAGATTCCAGGTGGTCTCCAGTGGGTTTCTCTGAAATTCTGCCTACCACACCATAAATGTCAATGCAAAATAACCAATAACCATTCTACATACAAGAGAGATAAGGTGAGCTTTACTTAAGCCAAAGTGAGGACTGTAATCCGAGAAGGGCTTTTCCTGAAAGGAAGAAAGCATTCCAGAAAAGCATGGTTTCCAGTACAGTCTTATACGTTTCTAGAACAAAGAACATCCATTAAACATACCCAGGATACATGTTCATCAAAGTTTCAAAGAGGTAGTCAGTTGCAAATTAGCAGGTTAACATGACCCTGATGTTGGGAAAGGGACTAACAGGACGAAGGAGGGGAAGTATGCATTTTTATTTTAAGAGAATGCATTCTTTAAAGGTTAAAGCAGATGCATAGTGCATGTTTGATAGCCGATAAGTTAGGCTTCTTTAGTTCAAGTCAATTACTTTTGAACCCAAATAGTTACCCCATATACTTCATATGTGAAATAACCTTGTGACATCTTACCTCATTCATTCTGAGCACGTGCCATTGGAATTATGAAGACACTATTGTACTTGATTTTCAGGGAAGGATGTGGAGGCTCAGAGTGTTTCTTGTCTGCAGTTACCCAGTTGCTCAGAACAAGCCCGGGCGTGTACCCACCTTCCTCCTCCTGCTGAGGGCTGTAAAAGAGCCCAGGAAAAGGTCCTGAATCAGAGCCAAGCACACACCCTAGCTGGCCCTCCCCACATGTGCACAATCTTTCCTTCTTTTCAGATTTGGAGTGTGTTCCTTTCCAGGTGACTCAGAGCTTTATCATGAGATGACAGCCTTTGTTTCTATTGAGAAAGCTGGACATGCTCCTGTCATCCTGGGGCAATGGATAAATTCAATTTTATGGGCTCAAAAACATTTAAACTGTCACCCTACCTGTGAGGCATTGAAACAGCATTACACTTGGTGATTGTTATCTCTCCATGAAGGTTAGAAAATGAAGCACTTCTCAGTGAAACCTTTACACAGATGCAGCACTCAGCCACTCAATTTTTCTTTTCTTTTTTCCCCCCATTGTACAAATTGTTTGAGTTCTGAGGAAGAATCCACTTTACTACAATATACTTCCCAACTTCATTAAGTGGCAAAAAAATGCATAATTGTTTGGAAAACCATTTAACAAAATAATTTCAATGAGAGCTCTTTTTAAAATATGTATGAACATTTGAAAAATTTTAAGGAGCTACAATTGAATAACAGGTTGGTATATTGGAACAAAATGAATATTTTATGCAAAATAGGGATTCAGGGTGGGGGCCTACAAGGACTTTGAAAAAGCGTCAAAGATGCCTTCATGAACATCAGCGAAACAAAGAGGAGTGCCAGCTAGTGACAGGTCTTAAATGAGTATGATCTACAGTTTGTTACAAATTTACAGCACTGGGGTATTCAGAATGAACAAAAAGTCAAAAAGTAAAAAACAAACCTAAGCAAGAAATGTTTGTGAAAAGCTTTATTTTCATGGTATTTGTAAAAATACATCAATAAATATTTAAACTTCTCTATTTCAAGACATAGAGAAATACTGCATAATTAACGCTAAACAAGGCATTATGCCTTACAAGGAAGACATAAAATGTCCAAGGGATATTTAGAACATCGTAGTTTTTAAAGCTTCAACATCAGACATGTTGACCACATACTGAAATTGCTACAATAAATAACAACTGACGTTCTTCTCAACAGTACAAAAATAGATATACACATACATTCCCCTACCTGAACAGTGATCTATTTACTTGGATCTCTCCCATTATTTATCCCCAGCCTTTATCACAGTGCACATATAGTGTGGTCTCCCCCCTCAACCCCTCCCTCAAAATATTAGTTTAATAAATGTTCTTCAACATTTAAAATGCATGATCTGCAAATTAATAGTCAGGAGTGAACTAACTTTGATTTAACGTGAAAATAACCTTTTCACACAGTACAGTGAACCAGCAAACATTCAAATCTTTAAATATTAGAATGTTAATATACAAGCTTTGAAAAATAAATAAATAAATACTTATGTAAATAAATAGAAGAACTCTCATAAGAAACAAACACATTAAACACAGTCCAGGTGACCCCGAGAACTATTTGTTTCTCTTCTTTAAGGCTGCCAACAGCAACCAGTACACTTCCTCCTTTTCTCCAGGTTAGTTGGCGCTGCCCCTGTGATGAGAAAATGGTTGCGGTTAGCAGGACTCAAAAAGAATGACTGCAGAGCCCTGCATTTAATGGTACTACTTATACCACTGCTGCCCTGTGTGGCAGAAAATGCCAGGCTCCTGATGCCGTTTAATTAGGAATAAGGGGCCTGTGGTCACAACTGTATTATTAGCTTCAAAAAGCCAGGGCATAATGCTCAAAAAGTACATGCATGACATCCCTTAAGCCTCATAGCAAACCCCGTGAAGTAGTTATTATTATTTCCCCCATATTATTGCGATTCAGTGATTAAGTACTTTCCCTGGGGTTACAGGAAACTCACTTCTTTAGCATCTTTTCGATCATTTTCTTAACCATGGGGGCTTCAGGATTGAGACAAGTTTCCTGTCCATTCTTGAGAGTGGCTCTGCAGAGAGAAAGGAAAATGCACGTGAGGTAGGAGGTCGGGCTGGGGGCATCGGGACGGTACAGGTCACAAGGACGGTAGCAGCGGCGGCGCGCGGCAGCACTTACATGACTTCGGTTTGGGCGCAGTGGGAGCCCGCCGGCGTCACCTTCACGCTCTGGATGTTCTTGAGATGAATCCCCTGCACGGTCTGCAAGCACTGGCAGCGCAGTTCACTGACCACGGGCGCCCCTGCAGGGAGAACGGACTCGGTTAGCGTGACTGTCTCCCGATGGGCCCGCCCGATCCCTGTCCCGCCCTTGGAACCCCAGGGCGCCAGGTCTCACCTGCCGCGTGCCGGGTGGCGGCGACCAGGAGAAGGAGCAGCAGCGCGGCCCGGAGGAGCCGGGGAGCGCAGGAGGCGGTGGCGGTGGCGGCGCGGGCCATGGGGCTCGGCTCAGACGGTCGGGGCGGCGGGGCCTGGAGCAGGAGAGCTGGCGGGATTGCTGGCGGAGCGAGCTCTGTGGCTCCCCGAGCCCGGCGCACCCCTTTTATCCATGATCGCGGCGGGAGAGCTCACAGCCCCGGGCCAGGGAAATTCCCGGACCTCCCGGTCTCCCCCGGGTGCGGAAGGAAGCGCGGCCCCGCCCCTGGGGGGGGGGGGGGGCGGGGACCCGCCGGTGCCGCCTCATCGCGTGACTCTAACTCCGCGGGCTCGGGACTGTTCACTTCTCCTCCCCAAATCCCCAAAGGGAGAATGAGTCGCCTTGCAAGAGGCGGTGTCACTTGTTACGGAGACATGCGTCCTGAGGAACGTTAGTTTATCAGCATTGGGGGAATTAAGGGGGGGAAGAGGTGGGGAAAGGCGGGGAGAACGGATTTTTCACTTATTACGTACGCGTAAATATCTTCTGACGATGAGATGATTTTGTTTACGTCTGCATAGATACACTCTGTTAAAAATACATCAGTCATCTTAGATTATACATAAGAATGTTCTCTTTGTTCCTGGTATTCCACAAGAACAAATAATTCACATTTGGTGTTATGTCATCTCACAGGGGCAGGGGATGACCAGAGTCAAAAGTTTAATTGTGTTTAATTTAGCATAAAGTGTCGTAATCCTACATAGTTTACTTCCTCTGTGAAATTCTGGAACTTCCAGAGCTCGAGTAAATCCAGAGTACCACCTTTTTGGTGTAGAGGGCGTTGATTAATCCATGAAATAAGGGGCTGGTGGTCATTTTGGAGTTTTTGAGGGGAGAGAAAGCTGCGTTGAGTCGCAGGGTCTACAGTTTGTAGTTTTGTCCAAGCACAAAAATTGTCATAGGCATATGAGATCTGATGGCTAGTGGGAGTAGCGCCCTTTGCTCATTTAAGCCGCAAAGAGGCGTGTTCCTGTGTCATGTCAAAGTGCTGGATCTCGAATCTAATCCCACTTCCTTGTTTAATGGACACAAATCTCATTCATTTCCATATTATATGGACTTTCTTGCCTCTAGGGATTTGATTTCCTTTCTGGAGAAATAATTGCGATCATGTTTTGTTTCTACTGATTTCTAATAAAAGATTTCAAGCTGTTAACTCGAGCCTTTGTCATTCAGTAGCTCATTTTTTCACCGTCAGTTTTAATGTCCTTTATTGGATTATGTGTAGGTTTCAGATGGTGTAGGTGTGACTCTGGATGCAGACGAGCGAGAGGTATGCGGGGACCAGTGGAAAGGTGTGTGCGCTGGGGCGGAACCTATAGATGTGCCAGGGGAGGAATTTCAGCTCTGCCAGTTGTGGGTACGTGACATTTAACCTGTCTATGCCTTAGTTTTTCATCTGTAAAATGGAGATAAACGGTAGTATCCACTTCAATTAGGTTATCATGGATAAATGTGTTAACATTTGTAAGACACCAGCACACATTACATGCTATAAATAATTTTTAAATAAATAAAATAGAAATTGCTTTTTCCATATTACTAAGTTAAAACTCACCTGGGATAAAAATCCTTGTACAAAGAGAAAAGAAGTTTTGCAAAAAACCCCCACAAAAACCAAAAACGCCTCCAATATAAAATGTTTATATTAGTTTTTTCCTCAAGAGAAAATTTAGAATGAATTTTTGTCTATTTTAATTATCAGGTAATTTTATAAAGCTAGTTTTAGTATTTTCTACTACAAAATGTGAATAAAAGTAAAGATGTCCCATCTCAATTATTAGAAAAGATTATAAATGACTATATTGTAAATAAAGATTTGTCTTTATAGTTTTTTTTTCAGTATTCATCAGTACAGTCCTGTGAAAAAGAACAGGAATTAAAATTTTTCTTTAAAAGGAGTAGGAAATGAAAGATGACCTAAAGTTTATAATATACAAGTAACTCGGTAGTAGTTGAGAATTTGTATAGACACTGCTTGTTTTTCTGGGATTCTTAGTTGGAAATACTGTGTTTTCTTGAAATAATCAGTAGCTCAGAAATCTACTCTAATAGCCATTCCTTGAAAGTTAAAAATATAGTTTTATTTTTCTCATTATAGATGTATATCTTTTTATTACAAAAAATTTATGAAAGACAGAAAACATGAAGAGATTGCTGTTCAGACTTTTTAATGTTTGTCCAAGGAGCAAACCTTAGCAGATCTTTCCTTTTTCTTCAACATCCCTAGTAACTGACATATATATGTATAAAACCCACTTAGTCTGCTCAACTGCCCCATGAAATGGTTACTGGTTTTTTCTCCACAAGGAAACTCACGGGCCGGGAATTTAAGTAATTTGCCAAGGTCTCGCAGTTAATATAATTCAGAATTTGAGTTCCAGGCAGTGCAACTTTAACCACTACACAATAATTTTTTTTTTCTGAGACAAATGACAACTTCAGAAGGGCAGTTTTGTTTTGTTTAAATATGTTTGCTATCTTCCTGCTTGAATAGGTCAAGTTCACCTTTTCTAAAGCGTAGAAGTAGCAAACTACTCAGAAGTCTCTAGTGTTTTATTCCACTAACAGCAAGGGTTTTCTTTTGTGGTATGAATATGATATAATTAAATTTAATAAAATCCATATCTATTCATCTGTCTGTCTGATTTTCCAAATCAGTCGACTTCACCTCCCAAATCCGGTCAGAGGGAACGAAGACTCCACCCTGGGAGCTTCCAGAAGGGGAACTGAGCATTTTAGTCAGCACTTATTTGCTGAAATAAAGGTCACAATTTTCTGCTGACTCAGCTTGGGCACTTCGTCATGTTTAAATAACTGAAATATTTTGCCGTCAGCATTATCAAGAGGTTACTCAGAACTTTACTCTTTTTATGACTTAAGAAAACAGAAAATGTTTTCCCTAATGCTTTCCAGATCCAACTCAAAGTATTGGCGTAAACGAACACTCAAGGTGAATGAATAGAGCATCAAAAAATTTACAGTAGGAGCCGAAAGGATGAAGCATTTCAAGAAGCAGCCTCATATTTGTAGAATTATCTATAACTTCATGTCTAAGACTTTCTTGACACACATCTTACAAAAGAAAGGTGTTTTCCTACCTCATGATATATTAATTCTCATAATTCCTAAAAGCCTCATATTTATTTTTCAGAAAATTTAAAAAGCAGTGGTGTTCCGAAGCCTACTAAAATAATCCAATTCTTTCTTGTTTTAACAAGTGTCTTCCCTAGCTAATTAGTCATTTTATGAGCTGAATGACAGATTTGTATGCCCGAACTTTAAACTATTGCAATTACCAATCTTAAAATAGAGCCATCCCTAAAATAAAAGCGTTGGTTGCTAGATCCCATTTTGAGCTACCGTATTTACTGCATCTTGCAGATTTGATTGACACAGTCTAATCTGCCTTTAAAATTCAGAGTTGCTGCTGCATCCTGAGACAATGGAGCCGCAGGAATGGGCAGTGCAGTGCTGCAGTCCCCATTCTGGCCTTGGGAAATTGTGCTGTCACAACTGCCAACCCTATTTTATTACAATCACTGCTTCTGGTAGAATGTCTCTGGCTCTGAGGGAAGAAGAATGAAGATGCCTGAATGTGGCATTCAATCCCTGGATCCATCCACTTCTTCAGTTCAGAACAGTTTGTCCAAGGTCAATGTCATCCACCTGGTCCAGTCTCTAGGACATTTGTCATTTCTGCCTGGCTTGAGTTCCTCTTCCTTCTTCTGGTTACAGAACCTTGGTTTTCCTTTGGGAACCGTCTCTTCTTTCTCCCAGTCTGGGCAATGCAGGCAGAGTGACTCTGTTTCAAAGCTCCAGGAGTGGGCTGATGACCCAAAGTAGTATTGGTCAATTTTTCCAGTTTGAGTCCAATCCCTAGCCACTCTTGGGTTGGGCAAGTGACCTAAGCCTGGCCAAGTCAGAAAAATTCCCTGGAGTCCTTTTTGTCAGAAAATAGTTGGAAAAACAAGCCGTTGCTTCCTGCTGAGTTATATCTGGTAGAACAGAAGCTTGGGGCTTTGCCAATGCTTGAGGAGAGCTTGCCTGAAATGAAGCCAGCACGGAGAAAAGCAGCCTGAGCTGGAGAGAGACCGAAGGGAATTTTTGAACTGCAGCAAGCAGCTTTGTCTCATCTGCTCATCAGACTTTCTATTTGATAGGTCAAGTGATTTTCCTTTTCATCAAGCCAATTTGAGTTGGATTTTTGTTGCTGACTCCACTTACTGCTAGAGTTATCTTTCTAACCAGAAGGCATTTCAACTTGAATTTAACTCCTTTCTTTCTTTAATTGTTTCAGCATTTTCATTGATCATTTCCTCAGCATTTACAAGGTGTGATCGAAGTTAGGTGTCAGGGATACAAGGAGGAATAAGATAGACTCTGCTATCCTCTAATTCTCAATGCAATTGGGGAGATGAAATGTACAAATAGAAAATTTTAGAAAAGCCTGGTGAAAAATTAAAAATAGATCTACCATATGATCCAGCAATTCCACTTCTGGGTATATACACCAAGGAAATGAAAACAGGATATCAAAGAGATATGTGTACTCCCATGTTGGTTGCAGTATTATTCACAATACCCAAGATATAGAAACAACCTAAGCGCCCATCAACAGATGAATGGATAAAGAAGATGGTGATATATATATATACATACAGACACTATATATATATACACAAAGATACATACACAATAGAGTATTATTCAGCCATGAGAAAGAAGGACATCCTGCCATTTGTGACAACATGGATGGACCTTGAGGACATTATGCTAAGAGAGATAAGTCAGACAGAGAAAGACAAGTACTGTATGATGTCATTTGTATGTGAAATCTAAAAAAGCCAAAAGCATAAAAACAAACAGTAAAATGGTGATTACCGGGGGATGAGGGTGGGAGGGTAGGGCAGATGCTATTTAAGGGTACAAACTTGCAATGAGTAGTAAATAAATCATAGAGATCTAACGCACAGTGAAATGTATATAGACAACAATATTGTATTAGAATCATCAGACTTGTTAAGAGACCAGATCTTAATTATTCCAACCACTAAAATGAAATGATAATTATGTGACGTGATAGAGGTGCTAATTATTGCCTATGGCAGTCATATTATAATGTATAAATGTATCAGGGTTTTTTTAAGTGTGGTAAATACCACTGTAAATCATTCCTGAGGTGTTAGGAGCAAGGAGGGGCACCTAATCCAACTCTTAGAGAGCGGGTTTGTGAGAGATTGTCAGAGAAGTTTTCTTGAAAGAGGTGCTCACTCATGTGAATCTTAAAGATGAGGAGGAATTTCCCAGGTAAATGAGAGCACTGAGGGGCAGAGGACATTCCAAGAGAGGGCCAAGTGAGCAAAGCCGTGGCTATTGGAAAGAGCAGGATGAGGCTAGGAGTAGCAAGAAGCTCATATAGCTGGTGCTCATTCTGTCAGTAGGGAGAGAGGAGAGAATGAGGCAGGAGGAGGTGGCAGGGCTGGGACACTGGAGGCCATGTGCCCCTAAGATCCTGCTTGTCTGTCAGGACCCAGTTTGTATGTTACGTCCTCTGGCAAGCCTCTACGTGTATCTCAAGGTGTTTCCATGGCCCTCTTGCACAGACCACACTGTGACCTTTATTGGCAGTCTACCATGGGGAAGTCTGGAGTAACCTAAAGATTCAGGGCATGTCCAGAAAATGAGAGGAAAATAGATATAAAATTCAAACGACATTTATTATGCACACACAACATACAAGAGACTGTGGTCAGTTTTGCAAAAAACACATAGTGGATAAAACTGAAACTCCAAATGTGTTGCTCTTCTTCCATGTCTAACTGCGTACTTCCTTCTGCAATGCAGCTGGTCTTTTCTTCTGTTCCCATAGTAAAGCCGTCTTGATGAATTCAGCAATCTATAATTATTTAAGGACATTTCAATTAACAGTGAGCACCATTCACTATATTAGATTTGGGCATTATTCCAAGGCTTCTAAAAGAATGGATTTCGATATAAACTTTGTATTTCCATTTTCTTAAGATTATATTTTAAACTTTTGTGGAAGCAGTAAAGAATAATTAAATTATCTTATATATGATATAAACCAAACAAATACAGGAACGCCAAAATTACAAAAGAATATGTCAAGAAATAAATAAAGGAAATGAGGAAATGTCTCTATGGAAATATGGTTGTAACGGATGAAAACAACATGATGACCCTGTTTGATGCTTCCTGTATTATGGAAGCAAAATTTAGGAAGTTGAGATGAGTTATAAACCACAGCAACCATATTACACACTGTATGGATACATTTTCCAGCTAGAAAAATTGCAAGTCATCATAAAAACCTTGATGACCAAAGAATGTCCTCTGTAATGTTTCAACATTTTGAAATTTGTGAATATGTTCTTTATGGCCCATATATGGTCTCTTTTAGAAAATATTCCCTGTGTGATTTATGCAGTTGTTGGGTGAAGTGTCCGTATATGTCACTCAGGCCAGTTTGTTGATCTGTTGCTTAACTCTTCTATACTGTTATTGATTCTTTACTGCTTTGCCTATTCAGCATTGAAACAGTTGCCAGAATCTTTAACAATGATTACGTTTTCATCTAGCGTTCTTTTTAATTTCTCTCCATTTTGCTTTATGTAATTTGATAGTATTTTACTTAGTTCATAAAATTTTAGAATTATTTTGTCATTTGTAAAATTGCCCTCTGTTTACTTTGAATCAGCCTTCTTTGTCTCTGACTGCTTCTTTCCTTAATCCTTAATATATTAATTAGGCCTTAATTAATATGTCAGGTATTAACTAATATATTAATAATTTATATTAATAGATTAATACTTATTAATAAGTAATTAATATATCCATGCCAGATTTCTTTCAGTTAGTTTTTGTATGATATAACACTTTCTTTTTATTTATTTATTTATTCACTTATTTATTTTATTGAGGTCACATTAGTTTATAACATTATAAAATTTCAGGTGTACATGGTTATATTTTGACTTCTGTATTGATGGCATTATGTTCACCACCAGATATCTAGTTACCATCCATGACCAAAAACATGTGCCCCTTTACTCCTTTTGCCCTCCCCCATCCCCTTCCCCTCTGATAACCACCAATCTGTCCTCTGTGTCTATGTTTTTGTTTGTTTATTTGCCACATATGAGTGAAGCCACATGGTAATTGTCTTTCTCCATCTGAATTATTTCACTTAACATGATACCCTCAAGGTCCATCCATGTTGTCACAAATAGCACAGTTTTGTCTTTTTTACAGCTGAATAATGTTCCATTGTATATATATATATACCACGTCTTCTTTAACCATTCATCTGTGGATGGGTGCTTGGGTTGCTTCCAGGTCTTGGCTATTGTGAATAATGCTGCAGTGAACATAGGGGTGTGTATATCTTTTCAAATTAGTGTTTTCATGTTCTTTGGGTTAATACTGAGAAGTGGAATAGCTGGATCATATAGTAGTTCTATTTTTAATTTTTTGAGAAATCTCCATACTGTTTTCCTAGTGGCTGCACCAGTTTACATTACCACCAGCAGTGTTTGAGGGTTTCTTTTTCTCCACAGCCTCTCCAACACTTGTTATATCTTATTAATATATATAAAACTTTCAATTCTTTTAATTTCAAGTTGTGTTCTAATATTTAAAGTGTGTCCTTTTTAAGCAGTATAGATTTTCTGTCTTATTTATACAGTCTGATAACTTTTGAGTTTTATTTAGACTGTTTATTCTGTTTAAATTTACTCTAATTCTTAGTATAGTTGGATTTAAGTCTACTATCTTGCTATTCTATATAGCCTTTCTTTTTTTAAATAAACTTTAAATTTGTAATAATTTTAGATTTACGAAAAATTTGTTAATATGGTACAGAAAGTTCCTTTGGCTCTTTTGCCCAGTATCATCTAATGTTGACATCTTACATAATTATTGTACATTTGTCAAAACTAAGAAATTAGCTCTGGTACGTTATGTTAACTAAACTTGATTTAGACATCACCAGTTTTCATTGCTGTCCGTTTTCTATTCCACGATCTAATCCTGAATACCACATTGCATTTAGTCATCACTTCTCCTTTGTCTTCTCTGATCTGTGATGGATTCTCAGCTTTGTTTTGTTTTTCACGACTCTGACACAATTTTGAGGAATACTTGTTAGATATTTTGTAGACTGTTCCTGAATTTGCTTTTTATGATGATTTTCTCCTGATTATACTGGGCATATGAGTTTTCCAGAAGACTATCATAGAGATGAAGTGCCCTTCTCATCATACCATGTGGAAGGAATGCATGATGTTCACACGACATAACTGGTGATAATAATCTTAGTCTTTTGGTTAAGATGGTATCTGCCAGATTTCTCCACTGTAATATTATAGTTTTTCCCTTTTCCTAATCTCTTCTTCAGAAGTAAGTCGCAAAACCCAGGCCATACTCACGTGGGGAGGGGAATTAAGCTCCATCTTCAAGAGGAGAGAGATTCTACTTAAATTATTAGGCATTCTTCTGTAAGGAAGATTTGTCCTTTCCCCTGCTTTCCTGTTATTTTGTTCCTTTACTCCTTCATTTCTGCCTTCTTTTGTGTTATTTGGATATTTTCTTTTATTCCATTTTATCACCTTTTTCACTTTTTTGTTTTTGAGGAAGATTAGCCCTGAGCTAACATCTGCCACCAATCTTCCTCTTTTTGCTGAGGAAGACTGGCCCTGAGCTAACATCTGTGCCCATCTTCCTCAGCTTGATATGTGGGATGCCTGCCACAGCATGGCTTGCCAAGCGGTGCCATGTCTGCACCCATGATCCGAACCAGGGAACCCTGGGCCACCAAAGTGGAATGTGTGAACTTAACCGCTGTGCCACTGGGCCGGCCCCTCCTTTTTGATTTTTAAATCCAAAGTTTTGCATTTCCTTCTTAGTGGTTATCCTAGCAATTACAATATATATTCTTGCTACATTACAATTTTCTTAAGTTAATATTTTCTCCAACAATTGAAGAAACATATTCTAAACCCCTCTATCTCCCTACCTGTCCTTTATGCTATTTTTGTCATTATTTTACTTTCCAGTGTGTATCTCCATAGATCATTATTATTGCTGTTTTAAATAGCATAAATTGTTTGAGTTCTGAGGAAGAATCCACTTTTCTGCCTTTTGCTCCCTGCCTCAATAAAAGGAACAGAATTTATTTGCATAATTGTTTGAAAACCACTTACTAAAAATATTTGTGGGATCCCTTGTTAAAATACTGATAAAAATTCAAGTTTATAAAGAAGTAATTTTGAATAATGAACTGGTCAGCAATATTTTACATAAAACTGGGATTCTTAAGATGGTTGGGGAAGGCAGTGTGTCAAACACTCCTTCCTAAGTACGAGAAATGTATGGGAAGTAACAGTCCGGAGCAGGTGTAAAGTTAGGCATGACCTACAGTCTGTGCAATACCTTGGGCAGCCATGAGGAACTAAAGATCATAAAGAATAAAACAAAACCCAAGCATGCTATTTTTTACAAAACTTTTATTTTCATGTCACTTGTAAAAATATAACAGCACTTTTAACTTCTCTGTTCCAAGATAGAGAAACATTGCATAATGAATATCAAACCAGGCATTATGCCCTACAAGCAAGACATAAAATGTCTAAGGGAAGCTTCAACATAAAAATGTTGACCACATAATGTGAAATAATTTCAATAAATAGCAACTGACCTGCTTTTAAACAAATACAAAAAAAGATGTGCACACACTTTGTCTGACTCTAATAGTGATCTTGCTGTCTAATTGCTTGGAGCCCCCTCTCCCAACCCACACCCCCCACCTCCATCACAGTGCCTGGCACTCAGTGCTCTCCTGATATGTATCAGTTTAATGAGACACTTAAAACCCATCATCTTCAAATTAAATAGCAATCAGGACTGATTATATTTGATTAAACATATTCTCATTTTTAAATACTAACATATAAAATATTAAAATACAAGCTTTGAAAAATAAATACATACATACATATATAAATAGAATTCTCACACAAAATAGTCAAACACACTAAACCCTTTCTAAGTGTTGCCATAAGACAATTGTTCTCTTCTTCGTTTTCAGTGCCAATAAGGGCAGGGACCACTTTTCAGGAATCGCCACCAAAGAGCTTCTTTCTTCTCTCAAGGTCAGTTGGTGCTGCCTCTGTAATGATAACAAGGTTATGTTACAGGCACTGAGGAAAGCTGTTTTTTTTCTCACACTGGCCCCTAGGCTGAAAGGATTTCTGCATGCAAATCCTTGGCCCAGCCCTGCATCCAGAGAAGGTCCCGCTCTACCTATTGCCCTGTATGGCAGAGAACTTGCTCTTCCTTTGCGAAAAAGTGGGGCTGTGGAGTCAAATCTATTATTAGCTTGAAAAAGCTCACTGACTGCCACGTTGGGTTAAAGATTTACATGCATGACCTCGGTTAAGCCTCATATAACAAACACATGGAATAGCTACTATTATCTACCCCACTTTGCTAAGGAAGAAAGGATTAAAAACTCTCACAGGGATCCTAGACTTGAACTCAGGGAGGTCTCACTGCAAACTCCTTGCTCCTCACCACTGAGATTTAGAGGCCCATGCTGCCCAAAAGCAAGAGTTCCACTTGTCAAGTCTGAAGCCCATTAGGGACTGGGGTAAACATTGTTGTTCCTTAATGGGTAGGAGCCATTTTAGCATCATTGCCTAAAGCTACATAATCTTTCAGAAATACATGTTTACCCACACTCATTTAAATGGAGATGGAGAGATGGGGATGGAGGGCATCGGAAATACACTTCTGGCGTTAGAGCAGATAATGACTTCAATAGCAAATTTAATTGTAAAATAATGATTTTCAGTTCTTCAGCTAAACCCTGGTTCTCTGATATAATTTTCAAGAGGCAGATACCAGTATTTGTGACCAATGGTTCTTGTCACATGTGTGAATAAAAACCATAACTCACTTGTTTAGCATCCTATCGATCATTTTCTTAACCATGGGGGCTGCGGGGTTGAGGCAAGCTTTCTGTCCATTTTTGAGAGTGGCTCTGCAGAGAGAAGGAAAAATGCACGTGAGGCAGGAAGTGGGGATCAGGTAGAGTGGGGGGCATCGGGACGGTGGAGGTGACAAGGACGGTAGCAGCGGCGGCTCGTGGTGGCACTTACATGACTTCGGTTTGGGCGCAGTGGGAGCCCGCCGGCGTCACCTTCACGCTCTGGATGTTCTTTTGGTGAATCCCCTGCACGGTCTGCAAGCACTGGCAGCGCAGTTCACTGACCACGGGGGCCCCTGCAGGGAGAAAGGACTCGGTTAGCGTGACTATCCCCCGGTGGGTGCACCCGATCCCTGTCCCGCCCTTGGAATCCCAGGGCGCCAGGTCTCACCTGCCGCGTGCCGGGTGGCGGCGACCAGGAGCAGGAGCAGCAGCGCAGCCCGGAGGAGCCGGGGAGCGCAGGAGGCGGTGGCGGTGGCGGTGGCGGTGGCGGTGGCGGCGCGGGCCATGGGGCTCAGCTCAGACGGTCGGGGCGGCGGGGCCTGGAGCGGGAGAGCTAGCAGGATTGCTGGCGGAGCGAGCTCTGTGGCTCCCCGAGCCCGGCGCACCCCTTTTATCCACGATCGGGGCGGGAGAGCTCACAGCCCCGGGCCAGGGAAATTCCCGGACCTCCAGGTCTCTCCCGGGTGCGGCCCCGCCCCTGGGTGGAGCGGAGTTGGGAGACCCGCGGGTGCCGCCCCACCGCGTGTCCTCTCTCGGGTGACTGTAACTGCGGGGACTCGAGACTGTTCACTTCCCGCCCGAAATCCCCAAAGAGGGAGTGAGTCGCAGCCATCCTGGAGCTCTGTCTGCGAGGGGGGACCGTGGGAGCCGAGTGACCCCTGGTCGCCAGGCGAGGAGGGTCAGACCCGTTAGACTGATGTAGGGACTGCTCCACATCTTTAAGGAAGACAGTTACTTTTCTTAAAGACATCTCAGTTGCTGAGATTGAAAAAGTTGAGGCGAGAATGGCAGCCTATCGATCCTCTTTTCTCTTTCATTTGGGTTTTGCAGATTTTATTCATTTATGAAATAAGCTCACTCTTTAAAAATACATCTGTCATCTCAGATTACATGTAAGAACATGTGTCTTGTTCCTAGTGTTTTATGATCTCAAATAAATCACACTTAGTGCCATGTTTTTCTGCGTTGGGATGGGTGGTAGGGTGAGGGGACAAACCACGGCCACAGGTTACTGTTTATTTTAGGACACAGTGCTGTACTCTTTCATCCTTACTTTCTTTGAAATTCTGAGACTTCCCAAACTCTAGCAATTCTTGGAGCAGCAACTTTTTATTGTATAAGAGGCTGTGTTTTCATTCATGACACTCATTCTGGAACTGTGAGAGGCGGTGTTGGGTCAGGAGGCCCACCTTTCTAGTACTGTCCATGGACAGAAAGAATCATAGCCACCAGAGAGCCAATACTTGGCAACTCTTGCCTTTACTCCTCTAAGCAGCAAACAGAAGTGTTTTTTGAAATGTATAAATACCAGATTCCTGGCATTTTCCACTCCACATGGTCTGAATTTCCTGCCTCCTGGGATTGATTCTCTCTTGAGAAATAACTATCAACGTGCTTTAGTTCTCTAAGAATGGCAATCAAGCATTTCAAAATCTGTGTAGCTGGAGCCTTCTCACTAGGTAAATCACTTTCCACCATCGGCTTCAATATCCCTTTTTGGATTAAACTGTAGTTGGTTGAAGTTGGTTCTCCAGGGTAGATGCAGGCCTCAGGGATGTGTGTGATGTTGGGCCAGTGCTGAGAGAAGAGGAGGTGGGGCCACCTTAAGAACAAGAAGCCTCAGGAACAGAGAGTTTGGGAAGACTGGCAGGACTGAAATCTCAGCCACACACTTACTTGCCGCATGACCATCTGACCACCGGCAATTTATTTAATCTCTCTCTGCTCTTGTTTTCCCTCTGTAAAAGAGAGCTAATAAAAGTGCCCACTTCACAGGGTTATTATGAGTATTAGGTGCATTAACATTTGTAAAACAGCAGCACATGTTAAATACTACGTAATATTTGCTAAAGAAACAAAATAGAAGTAGTGTTTTAAAACCTTGTTATTATAGATAAATATTTGTGTCTCCCCAGAATTCATACATTTGAGCCCTGTACCCCATTGAGATGGTATTAGGTGATGGGGCCTTTGGGAGGCAATTAGGTTTACATAAGGTCGTGAGGGGGGTCCTCATAATGGGATTAGTGCCTCTATCAGAAGAGGCACCCAGAGAGCTGCTTCTCTCTCTCTGCCATGTGAAGAAGCAGCAAGAGGGCGACTATCTGCAATCCAGGAAGAGGGTTGTCACCAGATACTGAATGTGCAGACACCTTCATCTTGGATTTCCCAGCCTCTAGAATTTAACTTGTTATTTAAATCACCCGGTGTATGGTATATTGTTATAGTAGCTGGAACTGATTAAGACACTTACCTAAACAGAAACACTCTATGGTGAATCCTTATGTAAACAGGAAAAAAAATTTTTCAAGGAAACATTTTTTAATTTATCTTTTACGTTTTCAGCATCAGGAATTTTGAAAGGAGGGTACATCTTTATTCTCTGACGATCTTTGAATAGATTTTAAAAATTCATTGTTTGTTTGAAATTTTAATTTCAATTACTTCCCGTATAAAATGGGAATAAGAGTAAAATTCTCCCCAATCCATTTATGGGAAAATATTTAAGAAATGACTCTCTCTGCCTTGGGCTTTGACAGCTGGCTGCCCCAACAGTAAAAAGGATTAGCTATAATGATTGCCAGACCCAACCCAAAGTTTTGACGTGAATGAATACTGCGGAAAAGTAGAATTTCAGCTTATCTACAGTATCAACCAAAATGATGACATATGTCAAGAATGAAGCTATTATTTGTAGAATTATCTACAATGTGACTCCTAGAACTTGTTTAATCAAAATCATTTGCTTTCAGGAAGGAAGTAGAAAGGGTTTTTTTTTCTTTCATAATGTACCACTTTTCATTATTTAATTTATGACAGCCCCATACGAAGCCTCAGAAAATTTTAAGAGCACCAGTGTTATGAAGCCCACCATTATAAACAAATTGCTTCCTGTTTTAACACGAATGCCACTTTTATTTGCACAAGATGTACACCTATGCAATCACTAACCCAATGACGTTATCTCTAAAATAGAAGCTCAGTTTACGAAATTCCATTCTACTCTATAAATTTTTATTATATCTTTCAGATTTGACTAATACAATGTCATATACCTGCAAAATCTAGGGTCGCTGTTCCATGCTGAGCATTGACCTTGCCAAGTGGCCCCAAAAATGAGTGGTGTGGCTTTGGTTTATCCTGGTTTGCCTTGAGAGCTTTGCTGACAAAACTACCACCCCCTCCCCATCCATTTCCTAACAGCTATAGTTTGTTGTTTAATGGTTCTGGTCTGAAGGGAGAAAATGAAGATGACTGAACTTCTTACTGGATCCCAAGATCTCTTATCCCTCTGTCTAAGAGCACCCAATTGAGCATCAGAGTTAACTTTCCCATCCGATCTCTACTGCATCTGCTGTTTCCACCTGTCTGGCACCACCCTTCCACCTTCTTAAAACAGAACCCTGGATTTCCTCTGGAAATCTTCACTTCTGCCTTTATCAGTCCATGGGATTAAGGTAAGATGACTTCAATTCAGAGCTCAAGAGGTGAAGTTTGTCACATTAAGGCAGCGTTGATCCCTCCTTTCTGCCTGTGCTCTTGCCCAGGCCAATATGGGTTCAGAGTGATTAAATATAAAGTCGCATATTTAGCAATGACTTACGATTGGCCAATTTAGTGACGAAGCCACTTGTGCAGGAACAAAGGGAATTGAGAGGCTCTTGCTCCTTGTTGAGATTGCCAAACTGGTAAGATGGAAACTTGGAGTCTTGCGGTTACTTGAGAAGAGCCTGCCTGAGAATGGAGCTGTCACAGAGGAAAGCACGGAACTGGCCTACACAGACATAGGATTACTGGAGCCCTTGTTTGAGCACCTGAATCTAGCTTTGCCCTACCTAATCCATTGATTTTATTGTTATATAGCAATTGAGTCTCTTTTCTTTTTAAACCAATTTGAGTTGTGTTTCCATCACTCACAGTAAAAGAGTCATGAAAAATGCCTTCTGTCTTTCATGTCAATGCTAAAGTTATCTTTCTAACAGATGGACTTCTTCACTATTTAAATCTTTTCTTCCCTTCCTTTCTCCAACTATTAACTTTTGCGTTAAGATTTATGAATTTGGAATCAAGTTAGGTTCTAGGAATGCAAAAAGGTATAAGATGTGTTCCACTGCCACCAAACTTTCAGTCTAATAAGAGAGGCAAATATATCTACAGAAAATCATGATGCAGCCTGGTAAATCCCATGAAGAGTATGCCTAGGATATGATAGGAGCCCAGAGATAGGACAACTAACCTTTTTTCTCAAAGGAGTGGGCTGAACTCTAAGAGAACTTCAGAGAAGCCTCTTTGTGGGAAATGCCCCTTGAATTGAGTCTTAAAGGATGAATGATACTTTCCAAAGTAAACAGGGAGATTAAAGGATGGGGGAAATATTCCAGAAGGAGATGACCAGATGGGCAAAGGCATTGAGGTTAGAATGAGCATTGTGTCTACTGGGAGCAGCCAGCAATTCATATATCTGGAGCTTAACCCATGAGGCAGGGAGAGGGGAGAGATGGAGGCAGGAGAGTGAGGCAGGACTGAAGGCCATATGTGGACCTTCCACTGGAATGCTCTTAAAATCCTTCTCAAGGTGATGCAATGACCCTATGTGCACAAATCCACCGTTTACTAAGTGGGATGTGGGAGGGTCTGAGTCAATAAAAGGCTCAGGATATGGAAGAAAACGAGAATATAGTGGATATTCATTTTGGTAAATCTTTACTAAGCCCTGACTTTTATAAAGTTCTATGACAGGTTTTAAAAGAGATGCAAAATTGGATAGAAGCCAAACTTTTGACATTCTTTAATATCTAACCAATACATTCCCTCCTGTATGCTAGGTAACTTCCGTTGTTGTTGTACCTGTAGTAAATATTCTGATGATTTTAGCAATTTGCAATTATTTAAAATCATTTCAAGTTACACTAAGTAACATTCAAAACTATTGGCTTTGGAAAATTTTCAAAGGATTTAAAAAATTTCTTTAAATTAGGTTTTCATCTCTACTTTCTAGAATTGTTTCTTAAATATTTATGGAAGTTGTCCTGGTTAAACAAATGCTACCAGGATCATATAATGTAACAGGAAGAAATGGTGATATGACAGATTTACAAAAGAGAAGTAAGCAGGGGGAAAGGGGAAACTTCCTCATGGAAATAGTCTATGTTATAAGAAGATGTTTTTAGAGAATGAAAACATCGTGATGACTTTAGTTTTATGGATGCGAAATTTAGGAAGTCGATAGATGAGTATATAAAACACAAATAAATGTGTCACACATAGGGTTTCACAGTACAGATTTTGCCTAGAACAATTATGGATAAAGAATCAATAACTTGATTTTTGAATCAAGTTGTCCATAGTATATTTTCCAATGTTTT